TTCTGTCCTGTAGGGTCACTATGAGTTGGGACTGACTGGAGGGCAGAGAGTGAATAAAGGATATTCACATTTTAACCCACCCCCCACCCCCCAAACTCTGTTAGTTTACGAAGCAAAAAGGCCAACACAGCTGTGATGAAGTTAATGTTCCCCTCCACCCTGCTCGAGTGATATCCTCACTCAGCTCCATCCATTCTCCCAGAATTACTGGCGACTGGAGCGGGGAGGGGGGGGGCAACACAGTTTGGGGAACAGGAGAAGACGTGGCATTTGAAGTCAGACCTGTCCATCGCCATCAAACTGATTTTCAGGGCCACCGAAGGACAGATCAGAACTGCTCCGTGATGCTTCCAACGCTGCTATCTTTGTGGACACAGCCACATCTCGCTCACACAGTGGGCTTGAACTGCCAACCTTTAATCTCGGCACCACCAGGGCTCCTTGAGACAGATCTACCTCGGCTCAAATCCTAGTCCTCCACTTAGGTGAGTGGGACATCAGATAAGTTCGTGACTGGCCCTGAGCCTCAGTGGGTTTATCTGCAAAATGAGATCAGCCCATGGCTACTGAGTACCTGCCACGCCAGGGAACACAGGCTCCATGGTGGTGGGTGAAGGGGACCGTGTGGGGTGCCTCGCTCGCAGGTTTTAAAACCATGGACACCAAGTCTCTGGCCGGGTTTGGCACAGAACTGCCACTTAAAAATCACGGGGCTTCATCGGTATTTTTCTGCCAGTCCTGGGTCTTGATCCAGGTCTTACCTACAGCAGGTCATGTCCACCTTCTATCCAGTCTGTGTCGGCTGACATTCCCCTCAGTGGGCCACGATGTCCTTGGAGACGGGGATCCAGAGAATGTCGATGCTGTTGGGTGACGTCGTCAGTTCAGACTCAGCGAGACCCCGCGTACCACAGGAGGGGCCACCGCCTGGTCCTGCGCCGTCCTCACTGTTAGGAGCTTTGAGCCCACTGTGGAAGCCACTTCGTCCTTCCATCTCCTGGACGCTCCTCTTTTTCGCTGCCCCTCTAGTTCACCAAGCAGAGCGTCCTTTTCCAGGGACTGGTTGGTCTCTCCTGCCAACGTGCCCAAAGGATGTCAGAGAAAGTCCGTTTGTATTGCCCACAGCAGCGAGCCTGGCACCGGGCTCCCTGTGCTCAGTGAGAAGGGACTTGGGGTGAGGGGGAGGATGCACAGGTGCATCGTGTCTGGAACTTTCGATCTTGAGGGAAAATGTCATCTTTCTCAAAACATTTGCTCTCCACTTGAGCCCCTGGCATCAGGTCCCCACTACCCCCTCCCTCATGAGCCCTTGACAATTTATAAATTATTATTCTGCCATATCTTGCCCCGTGCACATGGAAGTAAGTGAATCCTAAGTGACTCTCCAATCAAGTCATTTCTTCTGGTGAGATCGTAGTTGTACTGAACTGGAAAAGATTTGTTGTAGCTCCAAATGCTCTTCCATTCAACAACAAAAAAATGTATTACCAAAAAAAAATGTATTTAGTCCCCAGCGAGGGCCGGATCAGGAGCCTTGGTCGATGCTCAGCTGTTAACAAAGGTGGGTGGATGAAACCCACCAGCACGCTGTGGGGGGAAAGCCCTGGTGGTCTGCTCCTGTAAAGATTGTTGGATGCAGTCGGGTCGGTTCTGGCTCACAGTGACCCGATCAATGTACAACAGAACGCCACACCGCCTGGTCCTATACCATCGTTACCACGGATTGTTACAATGGAGCCCATTGCTGCACGTGGGGAAGATGGCGGAACCGCACCTGCAATTAAACCCTTCAGCTGAGGTCACAATCCTATTTTAATTACCCCAAACAGAAGCCGAGAGAATGGGTGGATGCGAAGCCCACATGTACTGTGATCCAATAATGGGAATGTGCATCCTTCAAGAGTTTTATTGACAGGATGACCAAGCTGCAACCTGAAGATCAGCAGTCCCAGCCCACCACCTGGGAGGAGGTGGCCATCTGCTTCCATAGAGATAAACAGCCCTGGAAACCCCACGGAGGGGATTTCAACTCTGTCCCTCTGGCCGGCAATTGTCATCTATGTGTCTTCTCGAGATTGCTCTTGTGAGCAGGCGCTACAGGACTAGATGGGCCTTACATGACACAGCAAAGGGCAAACCCCCGCCATGACTGTGAAATCCAGGACCACAGGAAGAATAACGAAATGTCCCTGTAGTAGTTACAAGATTTCATGTCAACTTGACATATGAAAGTGGAGGGGTGGAGCTTAGCCTCCTTGTGGGCGTGGCCTTTTTGTAAGGAGGGCCCTGGGAACCCCCTCCACTCTCTCAGCCTTCATCTTCCTGTGACAAGTCACACTGAGACCTGTTCAGGTCCTGCGATGGGGCCACTGCCACTGGATTCACACAACACTGGAGCCCCACAACTCTGTATGCACCAGCCTGTGATCTTCCTGCATTCTGCATCATTTAACGTGGCTGAAGAGGGACTTCAGGACTAGAGGGACTTGAGTTGGTGTGGGCTGGGATGTTTTCTCGATACAGAATGACTTCTTGACATAAAGTTCGTTCATACACATACTTCTCTGTGTCACGGGATTTGTTCCTCTCGTCGACCCAGCCTAACACCGTCAACTGTGTATGCAGCACCCCTTCTGAAATTCCAGAGAGCGAACCTCAAAAAGCATGGTAAGAAATTCAGTCGAGTCTTCCGTATATGGAAGGGCACCTCTCCCCGTAGGGCCTCTCCAGAGCTGTCCTCACCCTGGGAAGTCCAGGGTTTGTCTACCTTGCTTAGTCTCGATGCCCTCTTCCAGGGCGGGTATCACACATTATAATGACCTGCCGTCCTACGGGACAGGCTTCCATTTTCTATTCATTCCATTGTTGAAGAGCCATTTGCAGCCCCCTCGTCTAAGATGGTCTTCCCTGGTGGATCGTCAGCTCCCATGTTCATCTCCGTCACCGCAGCAGCCCCAGGGCCACCATCATTTTTGAATGGATCGATGACGGTGCTGATCAAACCAGCGGAACCATAAACCATCAAGCGGGGAGAGCAAGTCTCTTACAGAGTAAAGTCAGTAACCCCTCGGCCACCTGTGATATTCACTGCAGAGCATAAAGACTTGA